AACCCAGGCTTCAGTTCAGCTTCCTGGATCCTGTCTCAAGTTTACGAGGGCTGATCTAGGACTGGACCCACCAGCAGCATCATGCTCTCTCTTAGCAGAGCACAAAGGGTTAGTTCATTTATGACTCAAGTTAATTTTTTAATTCTCTCTTTGCTATACAACGTTCTTGTCTCTCACCAAAGCCTATTAATGGTGTGACACTATGGAGAAGGGCTGGGGGGAGCACTTATCCTCTAGTGTGGATTCACAACAGCTGCTGTTTCCCTCTGACACACCAGCTTAAGCATGGCTCCTTCCCTTTCAGGCCTCTGCTAATCCTCTGGCTCCACACTCGCTCTGCTCCCATCTCGACCCGTCTGCCTGGGAGCAGCGTCCCTGTGGCAGACGCTGCTACCTCCCCGACTGCTCTCACACGCTTGACTCTTTGCACAAGGACCCCAACCTAAACTTTGTTTAATTTTAACTGATGCTCCTTCCTGTGCTGCCGCACCAGAGCCCCTCTGGAGCTGATGCTTTCGGAGCAGCTGGATTGGAAAGAGGTGAGGTGGGGGGGGGAAGGGGACGAAAGAGGAGACAGGAAAAATAAATACAATTGCTTTTTGTCTCTAAAACTCTCTTTTTAACCCAACGAGTGTCTCATCCAATGAAGCATGATGAGCATGAAGTGTTATATAAAGAAGATAATTATAAAGGGATTTAATGCTTGGCAGGCTCGTATCGCAAGGTTTATAGTGGAGGTAGCACACTCACTTAAACAGCCTTGTGTCCGGGTTTGCTATTATGCGGGCAGCGCGGCTGGGGCCAAGCTGAATCAGAAACAAGATTTGTTTTACAAAAAAAAAAGAGCACAGCCCCCTTCCCACTGAGGATGGCAGCTCCAGTCCCACCTCCTTCCACTTCTGTCCCATCCCTGATTAATGATGTTGTCTGCCTGATTTATGACCCACCTCAACAGATTAGAGTTTCCCTCTTCAACCTCCCCCCCCCTTTTACCCCCCCAGAAGGCACAGCCACACTCCACTGGAAATATTAGAGAATTATTAAATAAACATTCATACGTCATGTCTCTTCCCATACTGAGCTCATCGTAGTCAACGCTCAGCGGCCGGGTCCTGTTTGCTTTGGGGCTGACACCAAACAGCTGGAGTGATTCATGGAGAGGCTGGCTACAATGCTCTGTGCCATATATCATGCTCGCAGCGCTCCCTGCCCCGGCGGAGATAAACTGATCAACCACAACGGGCTGGAATGAATTTATGACAACACAAAATTGAGGAAAACAAATGGGAGGTGACCCAGTGGGCCACTAACCCAGACTCTCTCGCTGGCCTGCAATCTAGTCTGGTGGCAGAAAGCAAAATTGAACATTGGCACTCTGAATTAAGATGCTGGCTTTTAACCCCAGGGAACCTCAGTTTCAAAATGGCACCAGACCCTCACAGGCGGCATCTCAGGAGGGAGAAGGGAGGAAGACTTTTTGCAGGGAAGGTGCTTTTTGCAGCTCTCTGTGCGCAACTGCGCTTTGGCTGAGAGTATGATGTTGGCGACGAGTCGGGGAGGATGCCTGGGCAATTAGGGACTGGCTGCTCTCTCTGAGCAAAGCTGCATCTTGAGTGGAGGTAAAGGAGCGTCGCGCCAGCTGAAGACTGTCTGCTGAAGACCCCAGCCACCACGGTGGCAGATGGGCAGAGCTCAGCCAGTGCGATGCTCCTTTACCTCTCTCCATGAGACTTCAGCACCTCAGGGTGTCTCCCAGACACGTCACGTTGGCAAGATTAGAAACACTCAGCAGGGCTGAGACACCCCGCAGCGCTAGGTAGAGAGGTGGGACCAGCACCACATCTCTCATTACCTGTGGCTGCCATCTGAAGTTCAACACAACCCAGATGAGGTCAATGGTGAGAAACCTGACCGAGCTATCAATGACCTGGCATGGCTGCGAAGGAGAGCTGGGATCAGGACCATGTCTCTCATTACCTGTGGCTGCCATCTGAAATTCAACACAACACAGATGAGGTCAACCTGCCCAAGCTATTGATGGCCTGGCATGGCACAAGGAGCGGGGCAACAAACACAGACTTGCCCTAAGCCCCATCTAGTCGTTCTACATGCAAGAGACTCCTCCATGAAAACCTGAGTTTAGACTAAATTAACTTGCTCAAGCAAAGAGCTTCAGCTGCATGCCAAAAGGAGGACCGCTTGCTGTACTGTATTAATGGGTTAAAAAACAAACAAACAAAACCACACCGCTCTCCTTGCCTAGACTTATTTTTGGAAGAGGGGAGGGGGAAGGAACGTCGTTCTTATGAGAGAAGGATCAATACGTGGATCGCTGCTAACTCTATTAGCCGCTGCTCTAAACAGAGAGCACGGCTGACACAGGTGGTAAGCCATGTGCTTCTGGACACTTTTAAAAATGCTAATCAGATGCTACACAGGGTCCAACACGCCAATCAATAACGCTCAGATTTAAAGGCAAAAGTTACAAACAATGGAGTAAAGTGATGCTGCCAAAAACTTCCTGTAAGCACCACCCAAAACAAGAAAAATGAAACCAATTTAGCTCCAGATTAAGAAACAGGAACTAGAGATGAATCAATTTAGCCTGTTGGGCTGGGTCACCATATATCATAGCTCAGCAGTGGAGTGGGAAGCAGCCAGACAGTGTGAAACCCTTCCCCCTCCTTTTCTGTAGGCTTCTAGCTCTGATCCCTGTTATCAATTAATTTAACAGAACCCCTCTACACAGACAAGCACACAGAGCATTCAGACTCCTTAAATGGCAGGACAGAAACTATTTATCACACACAAATCTCAAAGGAAAGGAGGGGGGATAAAAAGGCAGCTAGGAATTCTCCACCTGAAACACCATCTTGCTTTCTGAACCTCAGTGAAATACAGCACCTTAAATAAAAAGCTCTCCCTGCTACAAAAAAATCAACATTATCGGAAAGACTCAGCAAGACACTTGAGGCTTTTCCTGTAATTTCTATTGGGTTCTGCTGACTTTTCACACCTTTTGCAGAACCGAAGCTTTAGCGGGGCAAGGTTATTGTGGAGCAAGGTGCGCGTGCACACACGTGCATGCACACACACGCTCCCCCCACTTCACGGCGGCATTACCGTGAGTGTTGTTTGGAAAGGATTCCGGGATCCTTCAAAAGGTGCTAGCTAAAGCCTCTCTGATCAGATTATTAAAGCTATGTCAATTTTATCACTTGAGCTCAAGTGTTCTGGAAAATGTCAAATCCTTTCAGCTCCTGCAGTTTAAAGATTTTCAATAGGAGTGGATCTGGGAGGGTGGAGGGCTGTTGGGCTGACAGGCAGGAGGCCCAAAGGGAAGCGAAGCAGTGGCTGAGACAGAGGCTGACAGATTAGGGCAGAAGGGATGAGTCCTTGCCACCAAGACGCAACGGTTGGCTCACTCTAAGGACAAAGCTGCTTCTGCACTGACCTGCGAGCTCCCAAACTCAGTGGACCTTGGCCAAAGTCTGCTCACCGAGAAGCATCGAACAGCAGACAACTCACGTTTGGGACATGCTAATAAAAAGCCTTGTAAAAAGGAAAGTGCCAAGACAGCAAAGCAGTGTTGAAGTTTCCTCTGCAGCAGGGAGTCTCCCCAGTTAACTCCTGACTGTGAACATAGGCTTTGTCAGGCTGCCTGAAGTGTCAGAGATCCTGAAATGTGCTAAGGACACAGCCTCTCAAGTCAGGACCAGGGCAGGAGGAGAACAAACTACATTAAAAAAACTTTCTGTAAAGTCAGCTTAACGCTACCACCAGATTTTTTCCCCAGCCCAAATTATCAATGGACCTCATCCCCAAAATGTAAATGCCGCCTGTTTAAAACCCACAATCACCTCATTGCTTCCACCTCATTCAAGCTGTTTTGTCTCTCACTTGATCTTGGGGCAACATTTTATGTCAGGCAATAATCAACTTCAAACACTGTCCCACCCCACTTAATGCAGTCCGTGGCAGCAGTGAAGAGCCTGTATTTTAGGCGTGGATTGTCAAATCTGCCTGAGCAGTAAGTCACTCTGGCAGCGTGTGGAAGGAGGCTGAGGAGGGAGGTTGTTACTCAGACGCACAGTGCAGATAAAACCATTTGACTGTATCCCAGGCTAGGCTGCAGGACATCTGGCGAGCAGAAAGGGACAGGGAAGGAGATGGCCACGAGCCCCTGCACTACTGTATATTCAAACACTGGGACTTAAACTTCTGAATCAGCTGGAAGGGCTGCAGGTAAAAAACTCAGGAACTGAGATATATTTTCTGTTAGCAACCATACAAAGGTGAAATCTGGATCTTAAGGGAAAAGAAACTCTTTCAGTGAGGCTCCTGCCAAGTTACAGGGCTGCTGTGATTCCCTTTAGCTGGATATGGAGAGAGGAACATGCAGGTACCATGGAGAAAACAGAATAGAGACCATGTGAAGGGGTGCCCTCAAAAACCAAGATGCAACGATAAGGTAACTTCTCCAGTAAAAGTAGGATCCCACTACACTGATAGCAGAAATCTTGCAGGGGGAATAAAAAAAAAACAGAGTACAGCTTGACAAGCCAATTGCTTTTGTCAGGTTGAAGTGGGTTTGAATCTTCACCTCCCATCCAAAGTCCCAGCTCTAGTCTAGGCTGTTATGCACCACACAACATACGTGAAACCCCACCATAACTAGAATATGGTGGGAAGCACAGATATATCTATTTACATATTTTAAAAGAAGGCAATTTGCAGTGGAGAAGCCCTTTGGAAGCCGTGCTCAATTCCTTGTCACTGGGTACCTGCTCACGCAGATATCTGGGGGAGAACTTCCCACAGGCCCTCTATGGACACAGCACCTCCAAGTCCGGGCTTCATGTTGGAGCAAAACTTCCCTTCTCAGTGGTAAAAGCTTCAAATATGCCTAGCCTCAGACTAGCAGTGCTTCTAGGAACTCCAGACGGGACACTATGGTTCCTTAAAAGAAGAAAAATGAAAGCTATTCACTTTACACTTACTTTTCAATGTCACTGTTCTTACAGGTCTTCTGCATGGTCTCCTGTTTACTGCTTTCACCATTACTCGTTGAGGGCATTTCTGTTGAGGGAAGAACAGACAAATTAGTAAGAGAACATTTGATCGTTGCAATGAAATAGCCTGAGCGAGTTACAGTTTCAGCAGCAGAGGACTCCGATGAGTCATTTTCATGTCAATTCTTGGAAAGAGACAAAAAGAGACCAATGCCACATGTCCCTGTCTGGCAGGGAGGCCCTTTTTCTGAGACCCCTCAGACACAGACAGGGGAGAAAAATATATGCCAGGTAACCAGTATGATGGAACAGTCTGTTCATAGCTCTCCTCCGCCAGCAGTCCCATGGCTCCTCCCAGCACCGGAGGGGATGTGAGATACCAGTTGGAGATGAACGAGATGAACTGTCCTGGGGCCAGCCCCTGGGCTGGAGGTTCAGCACCGTGGCTGCAGGTAAAATGTATGAAGAAAACAGCTCATAGCAAGTGCCATCAGGGCTGCTTCCTCATCACTTCTGCGGCTGTAGTTACTGAAGCTGAACACACCTACAAGGGAGTGCTCCTACATCACAGAAAATAAATGTGATTGCCTATCCCACAGAAGAAAATGCCTGTGATAGATATCCTATGTTCTCCACTTAATCATCATGCCCTTGGCAAAACTGGTTCTACCCACCCCCCTCCCACTGGCAAGCAGTTATGTCTCGTAGGTACTTTCAAGGTTGGCAATCAAATGCCCAAAGCATTACAGAAACAGAACAGGGAACAAAATCATTGGGACAAGTCTCTTCAGGTCGCTGAGCTTCAGTTCCCTTCCTAAGGGAGCTGGAGCAGTACTGCCCAGCTCTGGAAATGGATTTGGCATCTACAGCTGGAAGGCGCCAGGTTTTATTATTCTCATATTTCCATTAGGTTGCTGCTTACACTTCCACTGCTGCTGGCATTAAATAAAAAACCCCAGAAGTCAAATGGGTTTAATCCCCCGCCCCCCCACCAAGGCTATGAGCTTTTAAATAATACATGCAAAGGTACAATTTGACATTCACTCGTTTGCTCTGGAGTCTCAACTACAGGTCACAAAGTAGGACAGATCGTAGAGTTCCCACTCTAAAGGTGCAGGCTTCAGATCTGCAGGCTTTTCTTGCCATACAGAGGCCAGCAAGGACAAGACCTACCCAACAGATCATGATACAAGCCTCTAGCACACCCTTTTAAAGAAGGGAAGATAAGAAAGCAGTTTAAAAAACCCAAGTAACAGGCGCCTGCGTAGTTTAAACCTCCAGCAGCTGAACACCACCATCACACAATCAAGCTCTGATGGCTCCCTCTGTCATACAGCAGTTTGTCTTTTAGTGGCAGGACAGCAAGTTAATCCAGCCCCTATCTCTTATCACCATACCAGTCAAGGTTGCATTTTTGGGAACTCCCTCAGATGCCACTGACTAGAGTAAATTGTGCTGCAAAGTTTCAAAAAAATAGCGTGAAACTATGTGCTGGTACTGCACAAGAGCATTTGTAACTATCATTTGCCTAATTACTGGCAATCAGAAGACACAGAATATCTATCTGCCCTCCTATAGCATCCAAATTAATAATTTACATGTTTAACACTCACCGTCGCTGGCCCATTTGGAAAACTCCGGTGTTATTCGAGTACTGGGTGTGCCACCACTAGAAGAGAAAAGGGCAGGATGCTAAAGGTTAAATGTGGAAAATTTTGCTGCTCAGGAAAAGCTAGCTCTTCTACCCACCACCTCTCTCTCAATACTTCTATCCATCAGTCTAGGCATCAAATGTGAGCAGTCGGTCTGCTGCAGGAGGTATTTTTGTGCTAGTCCACATCTCCACCAGTGTTCTCTCCCAACCTGCTCTTCTAACTGTGACCTCTGCTGAAC